GAATAAAGGTTTGGTGGAGGAGCAATAATGGTGTTGGGCTGTTTTTAAGTTGGGCTTAGGTTGTTGACAAAAACCTTAGGAGCCAATATGTCAAGATACACACTACTGGTAAAAAAAGTTTAAACATTTTTTTTCCGGATTTTAATTGAAAATCTGTCATGTTAGTGTTTCATTACGCTTTGTAATGAAAGCACTGTACAAATAGGCATGGAGTTTACTGTAAGATGAACCCCTGATCAACAAAGCACCCAATAGAGAACACTGCATGATGCTGCAAAATGCAGTGGTCCCTGTTTTGGTACAGAGTGTCTCTTGTTCGGTAAACGTCAACGACCCTGGATTCAGCAAAACTGCTCCTGACTATCACACTTTCCCTTCTATGTCCACAGTTGATCTCACACACTATGGCATCTTCATTTTCCCTAATAAATCACCTAAAAAGGTCCTACAAGATGAACCAAATTTGACTTCCTTAATTCCTTCTTTTAATCTTCAGCTGTTTGATGCTGCTGTTTCATGAAGCAGGCAAGCCTCCTCTTTTATTTTGGACTTTCAACAAAAGGTGTTCTTGCTCTAACTCATTCTGTCAATCCTACAGTTTGTAGTCTTTTTTCACAGCTGAAACTAAGACTTGCCTACTACCTCTACTAATAAGCTGTGGTTGAAACTGTTGTCATGTGAGCTGCCAAAAACACAAGCTGTAAACTTCCAGAAAGTTGTCCTCCAAATAGGATGTAGCTTTGAGTCTGCAACATCCCCTCCCTATCTGAGATTCTTAGTGGGTTTTTGATGGGGAGGAAATAGTTCTCACTAACACTTTCTCTCTTTGTAATTTCCCCACTGGATATTCCTACACTCTTAGTTGCTATAATGGTCTGTCTCTGTTCCATTATTAATTGCCCCTTTCTTGCAATAGTTGTCATAACTTGTGTACTCCTAAAATGATGCTCACAGGGTTTCTTCCACAATGGGTTTCAATGCTGCACTTATAGATACAGAGGGGTTGTATGAAATTAAGTAATGTTAGTGCCTGTAAGAATTAATAGCGCCAGCTTTCAGGACTATGCCCAGACTTCTCTGCAGTGAAAAAGCTTTAACCTTTTCATAACATGAGGACCCAAATTTGGGTCCTCAGCACTCGCCCCAAGATGTTTTTTAGACCTGTAACATATTCTCTGGGGTCTTGCCTTTATTTTGATACCAAAACAATTAAAATAAACTCTGTAGTTCTTGAGATATATTAAATTCGTTTTGGGCATGTTATTTTCAAGCATATTTCTCGAAAACAGGCCTAGTGTCCAAGAGGTTAAATTGTTAACCCAGTTTGTATTTCCTGACATAGTTTTTTAAAATCTATTTTCTTTAGTTTTGGCTAACTTGACCTTTTTTTTAAACCTCTCACACTTCGGAGTTTACTTCTGAAGCATTTAAAGATATCCATTGGATTTAAGCAAATTCAACTGACACAAATAACCCCCACCCAAAAATAAACAATTAATAAATAGCAATGCGCATAGGTTGCCCTTTGACACCGATTCTGTTCATAACTTTTATGGACAGAATTTCTAAGCGCAGCCAAGGTGTTAAGGGGATCTGACTTGGTGTCCTTAGGATTACATCTCTGTTATTCGCAGATGATGTGGTTCTGTTGGCTTCATCAGGGCGTGATCTACAGCTCTCACTGGAGCGGTTCACAGCCGAGTGTGAAACGGCCGGGATGAGGATCAGTGCCTCCAAATCCGAGACCATGGTATTGGGCCGGAAAAGGATAGAGTGCCTTCTCCAGGTTGGGGAGGATGTACTGCCCCTAGTGGAGGAGTTTAAGTATCTTGGGGTCTTGTTCACGAATGAGGGGAAGATGGAGCGGGAGATCGATAGGCGGATTGGTGCGGGGTCTGCTGTGAAGCAGGTCTGTAGGAGTACACCGGATACAGCACTGGGACTTGCTCAACAGCCGATACCGTCCTGTGATGTCACAAACAGGTAGATGGCAGTACTGTTCTTTGACAAACATGAATGTCTCCGGTAAAGCACATTCAAATGAAATGCGTCCTAATCAGAAACACTGATTTTTTTATTGAAAAGTATGTAATAATTTCATACTAAATATATTTTTTAGAATTTTTTATTCTGAATGTAACCGGACTTTTCCTTTAATACAGCTGCTGCTTTCACCACCTTTACTGCTCATTTGTCCTCTTGGCCATTGTTTGACTTTTCAGTTTTCACCATTTCACGTCTGACTTATTTTTCGTCTAAAATGGCCCAATCAATCACATGATGTGTTACACCAATCATGCGTGAGTACACTCATTGCTATCACTCTCTTCTCCTCTCTTCCATTTCTGTAATGTTGCATTGACCTTTCAAAACATAAACACCCTAAACATTATTTCAGTTTCTTAGAAAAAAAATAAGTCAGATGATATTGCAAAAGAAGCTAAATGATAGCATAAAAGAGCATTTTTCACTTTTTCACATTGTTCTTGTCATCGACTTAACAATTAATTTAATTACCTTTACAGAGGTAAAATGCTACAACCGTGGGCAATGCAGAATAAGCTGAAGATGTGGGGGGATGGTTGGCACAAGAGGAGTTAGTATAGACTTCCGTTCAGATGTTTGCGAATACTTATTGGTATAAAAGTCATATTGATTGTGGGATTTTAAAGGTGCATGTTTTCCATTTTTCAAAGTAAAATAACATACAACTTCAATTTATTTTTTTCACAACTAGAACTGGTTGTACACATTTACTGTGGATTTAAAGCAGATTTTATTATATGAGAGAATAGACCATTTAAATGTTAAAGGGAAGGCTGTTCCAGAGCCATGGCAAATGTTCAGTTCCCTCAAGTTTTCAGCCGTGATCTGGGCACAACCAAAATTGCCCAATTGTCTGATATCTTTGATTGAAGTGAGACATGAGCCAACAGAAGCTTGAAAAGATAGAAGGGAGCTAACCCGTTAAAGCCATCAGCAAAATTTAAAAATGAATCCAATAGCTGACTGGAAGCCAGTGCAGGTTGCAGAGAAGCCAACAAAGAAGTCATGTGTTCAGGCCTTCTCATACCTGTGAGCCAATGAGCTGCAGTGTTCTGAACCAGCTGCAGGCAATGAAAGAAGGCCTGATCGATAAGGAGTTACAATAACTCAAACAACATGTAATGAATGCCATGCTCTAGAGCAACACGAGGCAGATAGGGCTTAACTTTATTAAACAGATGTTGCTGGAAAAAGCCAGATTTAACAACTGAGCTGATTTGCTTGTTAATTTTAAAAAGCTGCCCAAAACAACACCAAGGTTTCAAGCTGATAAATGACAGTTAGGCTTAGCATGCCTAAGCCAGTGACCTCAAATGGGTGTTAAAGTACCACATTCATAATCCACAGAGAATCATAATTATATTTCTAGGCTTAAATATAAATAAACAATATAAAGCAAGCAATGTCTTTATCATATAACATTTATAATAATTCTGTTTTCCAGAAATTTATTGTCTGCTTTGAACACGGCATACAGTAGATAAATGGTATTTCCCTGGGTCTAAGTGTTCAATAATAGTAATAAAGTAAAGAAACACTACGTTCAGGTGACAGAAAGAGGAGACAGAAATAAAACACCAACAAAGAGGACAAAGTCCAATTAAATGGTTATTAATAACTAACCAGAATTTCCAATTTATCCCATTCTATATCCTATTGATCAGAGTGAAATTTTCATTTAAAGTTTGAAATAAGCAGCAGGCAGCCTCTGAGGAAAGCACTGAGCCTCAGATCAATAGCCAGTTGATTAGAACTAAATAAGTGCAGTAACAGAAATTCAAAAATTGGACTTCAGCGCTTGGTGAGGGACTGCTGTGAATCAGATCTAAAAATGCCAAAGGGGTGATATGAACACAAGGAAAGAAGAGGAAAATGAAAGATGGAAGGGGTAGAGACAAAGGTAGGGGGATGAATGTTGGTCTCTATTATCCTTTATCTTGTTGTAATCTCTACCTTTTCAAAAACTGTTATCTGCACTTCTCTTTCAGTGACCTTTTACTCAGAAACTGGGTCAAGACTGCACTAATTTAACTCGTTGACTCTGTGTGCCAGGGCTATGTGGGAACAACGGCTCCACATCATCTCCTCTGAATGTCACCCACCTGCTGGCTTTCCACCTCTGAGGTCATAAGCTGCCCAGCAGCCCATTTAAGACTGCACCTGCTGCAAAGCATCGATTGATTCTCCCCAGCTGTTGGTTTGCTGCAGAGTCTCTTAGATACACGAGATGTGCACAGACTACAGGAAGGAGGGGAATGAATGAAGATGTACAGGAGGTGGAGATGCAGAATCGAACAACACGACTAAACGCCCCTCTGGGACAGTATCATAGTGTTAACTTGTGCACATGGCTGAAACTCTCGGAGCAGATTCTGGCCAGCGCTTCTAGGCCCTTTGGTGTCACCTTGTGTTTTGGTGGAGGACCGATGATTAATGGGCCGCGGCCTGGGGGAAAGCTGGCTCGTTTCCCCCCTGCTCCGCTGCTGTTTCATTCCTTTGTGCGTGTGCGAGCCATAACTTGTGTGAATAAGATGGCTGAACCATAATCAGGGAGCAAGCAGAAAACAACTGTGAAACTGCTACATTCATTAAAAAGTTCACACTACAAAACACACCATCTGGTGCTGGCAGAATGGGCGGCCAAAAGAGGCAGAAGGAAACGTGAGAATACACAAAAAGAGACAAGAGCTGGTTGTTGTTAAGATGTTGATATTGCATGGAACAAGTGAAAAGAGAATGGCTCCAGCAGAAGGACTAAATCAGAAAGATAAAAAGCAGCACTTCGGTGCAATAAGGTTTCCAAGTAGGCTAAATTACCAAACAATTTAGACCGGAAAAAATAGAGACTTGAGAAAAGAGAGGAGAGCGGGTCTTTTCGAGCTATTAGATATGGCTGACATCCTGCTGTGCAAAACCTGCACTCTTTCAGTATGTTTGTTTCAGAGGTAACTCACCAGGTGGACACGGTACATGATGCTGATTCCCAGGGTCATGAAAGGCTTGGAGAAGTCGATCACCTTCTCGCGTTCCGCTGTGATGGTGAGGCCTGCCACTGCCAGGTCAGCTTTCTGTAAATGGAATCAGATCACGTCTTAAAAACATTAATCCAGAGAAACAGGAATCCAGCTCAGAGAAGTAGCATCCTCTCCATGACTAAACTGCTTGAAAGAAGACAAGGATGACATAAGAAGAGGACTAATGGTAGCCAAAACCCCAATAATACCCCTTTGTATCCTTTAGCCCCTTTGTCCACCAACAGCACTATCTGTGGTGAGGATAATCCAGCATTGGCCTTGTGTGAGTATGTGAGTCGGTGCTAGTGTGTAGGGCACCAGAGAGCTCAGGGTAACCATTGTGGCTGGCCAAAGCAGCACTGTCAAGACAAATCACTTGACAAAGCAAAGGCTGGTAAAACACACAGTAAGATACACACACATACATACACGGACATGTGTTGAAATGCTCAATGCAGCTGAATACTGGAAAGCTTTCTACTAATAATACAGGCCAGCAAAGTGCAACTGCAAGGGATTTTTCATCTCCCTGTGGAGCAAAGAGCGAAAGCAGTAACGCATTGCTCGCAGCAGAAGGACTAAGAGGATTGGAGAGATGGAAGGGAATAGCAGGACGAGAGCGAGCAGAGGGGAGTGTTGCAGCAACATTCACTCTTTTAAACAGAATTTGACATATACGAAATTGCCTTTAGATAGGACATAAAAGGGAATTTTAGAAATCAAAGTAACCCACAAAATAAGTTCAAAATACTTCATCTAAGAGCTCACTAATATCTAAACCCAAATAATCTATCATTCCTGTTATTTTTAACTTACCCGACTCAAAGCTGCCCACACTGAATACTGAGGCTTTTAATGTCTCATGATACCCAATCCCCAGCCAGGAGGCTTTGAGTCTCTCTCATCAGCTGCCCTATTTGACCCTCTCTGCACTTTGAAAGCATTATATTCAGTGCTGAAAGGAAGACACAGGTAGGAAAAGACTAGCAGACTGAAAATTTAACAAAGAAAGTCGCTCTTTCTTTGAAAGATTTGCAGTTTCAACATCCACTGAAATGCAATAATGCAATACAAGACTCCTTCCCCTGTCTTTTAATGCACCTTTTGCTATAGTAAAATCTAATGCCTGCTGTTAACAGCACAGTATATCCCACTTACAACCATTTATACCATAATCCAGATAAAACAATAACAAAGCTTACCTTGGATAAATCCGCAGAACTGTTTGTACAAACTAAATGTGTGCAAACCAGCAGTTTATATCTGCTCCTTTCTTTGCAGCTGTGTTGATACTGTACTCAAAGTATGTAGACAATACATTGACTGAGTCCAATAGATAGGATAGGCTGTGTCTGTTTTTGCATAAGGTCACAGTTGTTCTCGGTTGGTTGCCACAAACACAACAGATGTGATGAAATGATCAAAGCAAAAGTGACAAGTAATTTACCTTTTGTAAATATATTTAACAAAGTATTCCAAGTCTGGACACACATGAGGTGCTCCTCAAAATATTAAGAACTACGTTTCGGTGCAGATGTGGCACAGGTGGAGAGTGAGCAACCAAATAAAGAGGCCTCGCTCTAGCCTGTTTATCTAAGGAGAAGAAGATACTTGACCTGCTGGTAGGCTGACATTTACAACATGGCTCTCCTTATAGCCTGGAGTGGGTCTGCTGTCATAGCTTGTAGACTCAGGCAAGCTTCTCAAAGACTCCATGTTTGCTCTATTTTTGTAAACGTAGTTCTTTTAGAGTGAACTGGATCACTAGGAGTTGATTTGTTCAAACAATTCCCTCACAAAGTCATTTCGTTCATGCAACAATATTAGTTTTAAAGTTAGACAATAAACATGGCTTCCCTCACAGCTAGTGAGCTATAAACAGAGCTTTAATACCTTGTTGGGAAAAAAACAAACAAACATTATAAATCCTATCTAAGTTCAATAGCATAGTTTTTGAGTAAGTGTGATCCTCGTAATACACAACAAAGAAATCCCTCACTGATTGGTGCAGTACAAGAAGTCAGTCAGTGACATTTTCTGTAGTTACCACTTGGTAAATCATTCTTCAGCAGCCCTTCTCTCTGTGCAGAACTGCTGGCTTGGCAAAATGCAAGTTAGGCCAGGTTGTTTAGCTGTTAGTTTGAAGGAATTTAGCCATTCTGACAGTCATAGAACATGGAAGCTCCACACATCGGCTTTAACTAAACTGAAAATGTAATTTATCAGCTAAAGATTGTAATGTGATTTACTTCTTACATACAATAGTTGGAACTGCAAGAGGGGGAGTTGCACCGTAGTGGTTAGGGCATAGGGCTTGAAATCCTGAGGTTGTGAGTTCAAAACCCACTCTTACAGACTGCCACTGTGACTCTCTGAGCAAGACCCTTAACCCCCAATTGCTCCAAGGGCGCCCCACGATGGCAGCCCACTGCTCCTGAAGGGGAAGGGTTAAATGCAGAGGTAAATTTCTCCAATGTGAGATCAATAAAGTTCTATTATTATTTTATTATAATTTTCGTTTAGGTGAACAAGTTATTGACTCAACACTTCCGCTATATATGCCATATATAGCCATATATAGCGGAATATATATACCTCAAACTACATTTTTTATGAGGTGGCACAGAATTTATAGGAAGCACAGCATCCATTAGAATAGCATAGAGTTTAGGCAGAGAGAAAAACAGGTGGATGAAGAAATCTGTGTTAGTTTCAGCCTGTATTGTTCTACCTACCATCAGTGAGTGAGTGAGTGCGTGAATGACTGAATGTAGTGTAATGTAGTGAATATAGTCTCTGACTTGAAAAAGCGCTATATAAGCACAGACCATTCACCTTTGTTCTACCTTCTCTTAGGGTGCAGGAGGGCTGTTGTTGCTAATGGAGCTCATGTTGGCCCCAAAAAGCTGCCTGTTACAGCAGATGATTCGATAAGTAATATTCTCACTTAAACTACTCTGACAATAGGATATTTCAGAATTGCAGTGCTTACAAACAAGTTTGCTTTTATCTATTCCATTCTTTAAATACAATGACTGTCTTTGACTGAATGACGAATTGAATGAATTGAATTTCAATACTGTTGCACTTAAGATTCAGATTAGATTAGATTAGATGAGCTTTATTGATCTCACAGCAGAGAAATTCACTCGTCACATATTGGCATAGTAATTAAAGAAGAAGGTGCAAACAAGGAGGAAAAAGGTGCATTAAGAAGAATAAACAATATATATATATATATATATATATATATATATATATATATATATATATATATATATATATATATATATATATATATATATATATATATATATATATATATATATATATATATATATATATATATACAGTATATCCAGGTATATACAGTGTATCAATATAAATAAGGATTAAGGTGCAAGTGTACATGTATTGCACACAATGAAAAACAAAATAAAAATAAGAAATAAAAAATAAAAAAATTAAAAATGACAAGGTAGTAGCACAGAGGTTTGAGGTGACATATGTACAATCTGGGTGGCTTATATACAGGTGGATTTACTTTAACGTTAAAATGTAGTAGGTAAGGAACAACGGTGAGGTAGTGGTATGACTATTCTATCCACATATATTGCACATTCAGCATATTGCACAGGAAAGGTAAAAGGTAAGGTAAAAAGAAGGGTAGAGCCATCTAGCAGCCAACATAGGAACCAAAAATCCTTCTTATTAATTTGGTAATTACATATACCGGTATATATATTTTCAGGGTCTTTGTTGAATTTATCAGCAAAGGGTCCTTGCTGATATAGTCAGTTGTTGTCATAAGAGTTTTGATTAGTGCAGGTTGAATTATTAAAAATAAATAGAAAAACAAGTCTTCCTGTATTTGATCACTTCTACAACCGATACTTTTGTGGAAAAGAAAGGACAACTGTGACCAGAATCAAAAGTGGGGTTTCTTGCATCTTTTTTCTGCATATATTAAATGGCATCTATGTCGATTGAACAGCTTATTCAATTCAATGTTTTCTTAATTGCAGGTTCAAAGAGAATACACTCTGCTGGGACTTTCCAACTGTTCTTCTGGGCTAAAATGCAGGTTGTCTAACAGTGCCCAAAGTAATCACCTTCACTCAGTGAAATATTATGCAGCCAGAATGTTACAGCTAGGGACATGGGGATCTGTTGTCCAGAATGTCCTCAGGCTGCTCCTCCTTCCTTTCCTGCTGCTGAGAGTATGTTTCATACTGTATCTTCCTAACTCATCTTTGAAACTCGCCGGCGAGGCTGGTCCCACGTCTTTATACTTTAACGTCTTCCTTTCATAGCCTAAAACCTGACAAGATTACGCCTTTCTTCTCTCTGCATACAACACCCTGTCCCCCATTCCCTCTAGATGACCCCCTGCCCCATGACAAATCCCTTTCAAGCATGGCTTTTATATTTGTGTCTTGAGCTTTCTATCTTAGGCAGTTTTGAAAAGGCACGTGTCGACTTAAACCAACCAATGAAGGTCAGCTTTGCTGCAACAACTTCCAGTGGGTAGGGTTTCTCACTGTAAGACAAGCAGCCACTTCTTGCTTTACATTCTTAATGGCTTTGCCCTCCATTAGCCCGTGGAATTAAGACAGATCACCTCTTTGAGTAGACTCAGTCATTCACTACATCATTTCCTCCTCCTTCATCTCACCCCTGCCTTCCTTCTCACATTTTTTATTTGCCTGCCTCACATCCTCTTCTCCACTTCTTATCCCCTTCCTTTATAAAACCTTATCTGGCTGTTAGCAGACACAACATTGCCATAAGAATGTAAGACCTCATTCTAAGATTTTACAGTAACAGCATAGGTGAAGGAGGAAAGGAGGAGAGGGGTGTTGTTGTTGAGGTCAGTTCAGATGGATTCAGGAAAAGGAGCTGAAACAAAAAAAGCAACCAAAAAGCTGCAATTGTTTTTTTAAGAAAAAAAAAAATAAGCTGAAGAGGACAACTGCTGAGAGAAAAAATGTGAACTAAAGGAATTCTACTTCCTGTGAATTGTATTTAATTTTCTGTTCTGTGTGTATCGATATCAGAGGGAATTACTTACGTTGATGATGTGAATTTATCACTGAGTAAACATGAGTTAATTATATGTCTTAAGGTTGATTAATACTCAGAAACCAGGTTGTCTGTGTGTGTTGCAGTGAATGCAAATGTGCCCCCCGTCCCCTCCATAGACACTCTGCTGCACCTCTCCAAAATTGTAGGTGACCGCAGACAGGAGGTCTCTGACTGATCAAATCTATATCCATTCTACACTATGTATATTTCCTGTTTGGTACCTTACTGGCTTGTTTTGTTTGCATAATGTATCTATAATGATTGTGCCCTTTGTGGACTTGTTTTAGTTTTTTTTTAAAGTTATTCTGTTTTCCTGATCATTGGTTTATTTTTATATTATATTTAAGTAGTGTTTTATTTTTTAACTTACTCTCTGTTGCCCCCTTGTGCCAGTCTCCTTTTCATTAGCTCCTTCTAGTTACTTCTGTCTATACCTGCTCCCTATCAGCTAATTAGTCCTCCCATTGTTTCTGTCTCCCATATATACACCTCTTGTTCAGTTACTCATTGCTGGAACCTTGTCATTCTTTTGGTTTATTCCTCCCTCATGTCTCATAGCTTGTTTGGTTCTTAAGTTTTCCTTGTCTACTTATTTGTATTGTATATATATATATATATATATATATATATATATATATATATATATAGTATTTTACCTTTTTCATTAAATTTGCAAGAAAACACCTCAGCTTGCACCTCCACACAACCTCACAAAGACTTTGTTAAAATGTTATTTATTGCAAACCACACTTTCCCCCAAAATCCCTTAAAATCCCTCTATTTTTTTTTTTGTATTATTTGATCAGTTTCCAGTAATGCCTAATTAGTATGCCATGACTTCCTGGTTTCATGAAGTATCACTGTGAAGAACTAAAACCAGTTTCTTTCAACTTGGGTAATACAAATCCAGGGGCTTAAAATCATGGACCTCTTAATGGAAAATTGTCTCTGGGCTATAAAAGTTATAGAAAGAGGAATAATTGAATTTTCTTCTGTCTGTGCTTGTCAAGTTTTACTGAAAAAAAAAAAAAAACAAGTAAAAAAAATTATTTCTCTATGTTTAATGTACTTGACAGCTGAACTTTTCTTTTTCCCAAGAAGGATGTTAATAGGAACTCTGCATACCCTTGAGATGAGTTCTCCAACCATTCCAGTCCATGTTCCATTAGCTCCAGGAACACCGTAAACGCCGTCCCCAACCAGCCGGATACGATACTTAAACTTGAGGATGTCTGCCAGCTCCTTCAGCATGTCCACACAGAAGCCTTCATATTGGTCATTTCCTTCCAGTTCTTGGTGGTTTGGCCGCAGCATTACGTATGGATTCTCCTGAAAAACCACAATTTGCATCACATTATAATGTTTGTAAGTAGAGAGCAATGATGAGATAAAGTTAATGTTAACAGTTATTTAACTTTCTGCTTTCATGTATGTTACCACAGTGTTTATTATGTTTTGTGTGTTTGCCTTTCATAACCTGTTTGAAGATTTTACTTCCTCCCTGCTATCTGGGCGTCATGGTTTATGTGGCTTTCTGCTACTAATGAAAACTGAGTTGTGTGGATTTGAAACAGAGCCAAGCTCTGCAATCAGAAACACCAACAAGCCTTAATCTGCTGTAACCAACAAAAGCTGGATAAGAAACAAAAGCATCTTTTCTTTGCTATAACACACTATAACACCAACCCCACATAACAACAAGCACACACCTATTTAAAACCTGTCTTTTGGAGATCCAAATCTGTGTCCCACTGCCAGTTTATTTATCTGTTATGTTATTTATGTGATGTTGGAAAAGATTTAAAGCTCTCTGTTGTGATGTATATTATAAGCCTTTTGGTGCCCTATTTCTTTAAATAATACAGTTGTGCTAATGTGGTTTGGATTTACAAGGTGATGTGACAAGGCCTATTTAGAATTATACGTTTATTTTGAATAATCATTTCAGTTAAGCTAGTTGCTTTACTTTTAGAATTATTTAGACTCATCATCATTTAGACTTTTACTAAAACAAAAATCATGTATTAGCACAAACAACTTCAGATGCATAAAACAAAATCAACAAACAATTTTTTAGTGAGGCTTTTCTTTTACAAAATTACAGAAATTCAGTAGTATTTGTTGTTAAAGCGTGCTTTTAAAAACAGGTCATTTACATATATTAGCATGTGAGCTATAAAGCCAAAAGGAGACAATATGGTGATATGGTTTAACAGCCAGAGTAAAAGTAACATACTTTTTCTGAAACAGTAGTTAATGCTTATATGTTCAGTAGAAGATTTATTTGCCTCAAAGTTCAATCTGTAAAAATAGTTATTTTTGGGAGAACTTGATGCCCATCAGGTGGCCCGACTGCTGCTGTGAAGGTTCGTGTTTTTTCATCAAACTTAACTGCTTGGCTCCACTTATAAAGGCAGAGGAGAGCATCACTTTGACATCATGGATTGAAGTGCTCCGCATCGTTTTTGCTGCATCCATGGATGAGAGAACTGCAGTGATGTGATAACAATTGCCATAAAATAAATGCTAATGGGGTCTGTCTGCATAGCACATCTTAAAGCATATGCATGTTGATTCACCTCGTCGGAGGAAGCTCAAAGGTTCATTCAGTAGACATGATGTGCAGCAGCATCTAAATTTATTGGCAACCCTTGAAAATGTGAAAAATGTGGATTATTTTTCATCATTAAAAAAATACCACACCCATATATATATATATATATATATGTATTCATATTGTTTACAAGTTTATTTAGTATAAAGTTTAAAACGGAAGGCTGCAGAGCTCACAGGACATCAGATCCAACCAGATGAAGGAAGGCAGGATCCACAGGAAAGGATCCAACAGGAGTCCAAAGACAGGCCAGGTAAACATATCAGACAGGGGCAGGCAGGCTCAAAGGTTCAAATAAAGAAACGGATCAGGATCAAGCAATCAGGACACAACAGAAATGCTCAAGAACTCTCAACACCAAAGGCTCAAGAATAATCTGGCAGTGATGGCTGGGACCAAGGAGTTTAAATAGAAGCAGGAGTAGGTGGATCAGATGAGCAGTCAAGAGTAACTAGGGTTGGGAATTGAAAAGATTTTCACGATTCCGATTCCCTTTTCGATTCTATGAAACGATTCGATTCTTTATCGATTCTTTTTTCGATTCCAATTTGGGGGAAAAAGGAGAACAAACAGTTTGATTATCAGAATCAACTTTGTTTACTTAACTATTGCACAATCTTACAAACTCAACAAGATTAAGATGTCCACAGGAAATGTGAAACTGGAGTAACATCTGTGTTTAAATGAAAAATGAATACAAGAACAAACTTAATAACCAACAATGTCTAATAACAAATTATGGGATAATAACCTATTTTAAATAACAAAAAATACTAATTATAAAACAGTAGTAGGGAAAATTAACACTTCTTTTGCAGAAAGATGAGCATATCTGCTTTTCTGAAAGGATACGGGATCTTTCAGGGCTTATGGTGTCTCCAGCCGTGGAGAACACCCTCTCAGATGGGGTGGAGGAAGCCTGCACACAGAGGTAGTTTTCAGCCATTCCAGATAGCAAGGGCAGCGTATCTTGCTTGTTCCACCACCACAGTGTGGCGCTATCCCTGCAGGGGATGGAGGGCAAGCTTTTATAGAGCTGGATTTCCTGATCTACCCTCTGGGCTAAGGAAAGACGGGGCTTTGATTCACAAAGTGACCGCAGCTCGTTGTCTTCCTCCTCGAATTGTTCTTCCAACTTGCGTAACTTGCGTAACTTGCGTAACTTACGTAAAAAACGTGACGTAAGTCGTGCTTCCCAGAGCCGGCGCTCTAGGCTCTGGTGCTGCGGGAATCGAAAAAAGAATCGTTCAGCGAGCTGCCAAACGATGCCATGGAATCGGAAAATACGGAACCGGTTCTTAACAGGAACCGGTTTTCGATTCCCATCCCTAAGAGTAACAGGGCAGAGCTAGACAGGTGAATGGAGTGAGCAAACAGGCCAACCATCGGGGCCAACATCATGACAAAAGTAAAACTAAACCATTTAGAAATTCTGATATGAATTACTGGTAGCAATACTTCTTACCTAATAAGTCTCTCACGTTTTTAACATAGAGAGGAAAATGTCTTTTAGAACATACCCTGTATGAAATGTTCACACAGGTGTATAAATGTTCTGTTTTCTTTAAAGGGAAGACCAAAACAACATTCATCTTACATTCATCGTAAAAAAAAAGCAACGTAAAAAAATATAAGTTTGAACCTATAATGCAATTAAAATTTTTAAAGCACCTTTTTAATCCTAGGCTATCAGGAATCTGGCTCAATACAGATGAGTTCAGTAGAAGATGCACACTTTTTGATATGCACACAATCACTGAGTAAATGTGTGCATGCACCTGAGGAAATTATACTTCAAGCGAGTTCCCCAGCTTAAAAACCTACAAGATCTCAAGATGTCTCCACACAGTCTTTTTTTAACTTTTTTCAACAGTCTTCTTTTCCCTAAAAAATACCTCTCCGGTGTGAAGCAAGATGTCAGCTGGGATATTCATTTGTAGGTGTTGGATAATTAAGCAAATGTGATAAAAAAATGTTCTCTTAAAATGATAGGTCAATGGAAAATTATCTGGGGCATTAGAATCGTAAATTTAAAATAAAGTTAAAGATAAATTCGTGTTTAAAAAACAACACCAAAGAGAACCGAAACAGAGCTTGAGTTTGCTTGTGCAAGTAGTTAAGCATATGCCTCAGTGCCTCTGTGCCAGAAAGTCAGCCTCTGTGTCTGCTTTTATCAGTTAGCTCTGTGCACAGTTAGATTTTCCAGATGCAGTTGCGACACTGTAAGAAGCACTCAGCGACCCAAAGGGAGTCATTGGGAAGCTTAGGGAGAATATCAAAGAGTGATGTGTTTAAATAACAGCACAAAACCACTCCTACAGGTTTGACATGTTTCAGGTATCAAGAACAAAGCAATTCAATTTGGAGATGAAGTTTTTAAAGGCTGTGAATTTAAAGTAACAGCTGGCATCCAAAACATGTATAAAAACTCTTGACCTTTCCTAATAGTCAGGTTACACAAAATAAACTTTCAAACATATAACTGGTGAATTAAATTATTGACCAAAGCATAGTAGGTCATAAATGTGAAGTGAAAAGAAAATTATGCATTTAAAAAAATATTTTCTAAATACAAATCTGAAAAGTTTTATGTGGAGTCGTATTCTACCCCATTATCTGATATCTCTAAATAGATTTTTGATTAATTGAAATCATGAGCCATTTGTTTTTTCCTTTTCTATTTATGTAAATCTGAAGGTCCAGGTCTGAGGGGCCAGGTGCCTCTCTATGATTGCTGGATTCAGCAGAAGGATGAAGGGATTGGTTACCTAGGTGGAAATTGTGCATTAGATAACAGTTCTATTCATTGTTTCTTAAGTTATTCCTCTGTTCAATCCAACCCGAGCCCTGGATATCGGAGAATTGTGCCACCAGAAGACCAAATGTCCGATAGTTAAGCCCATTCAAAATAAAGGGAGATCTGTGACAGACCCAATACTATTTGTAATTATTTGACAAAAAACACAAACATTGCAAAAAAGCTTATTCAGAGGTTGTACTCAACATTATACTTCTATTAATAGTCATTTGAATTTAGTTTTTTTTTCTAATCTAGAGACTGTTTAAAGTACATTCATTTGACTAATATGTAAGGTATGTTAATGTTAAGCATTTCTTTACATGATTAAAGATGAGTAGAGTAACCTAAATATTATTTCCTACTAACATAATGGGTTTTGAGTATAAGTGGACATAATTATAGAAATACTTACCTCTAAAATTTTTTATTTATTTTACAATACCTCCTTAGCGATAGACTCTTAACAATCATAGACAGGTTTCAGGTATTACAGTAGGTAATCCCCCTCTTTAACGACCGACCCTCAGAATCATAGACAGGTTTCAGATATTACAGGCTAACAATGGAACCAAACGACCCATTCAACGGTTACCATTTGCATGTTTCCAAGCAATACAAGGCCTTGTCTTTATATGGACTCAAACTCACTGTGGATCCAGACATTTGAATTGAGAAAGCTTCCTGGAGAGGTGGCGAAACGTCTTCAAATCTTGGAAACCAAGTCCAGTGGATTTTTTTTTTTTTACTTTTACGGACTGACTTTGACCTGGATGACTGAGAATCTTCATCAGCATTTATTTTATACATTTTTCTTTGTTTAACTTTGTACATAACAAATAAAATGTTTTATCAATTTCAAACATATTCTTTATTATTTTAACTCAACAGTAGGTAGAAGTAGAAAACATGATGTGA